TTTACTCTTACTTCTATACATAACGTCGCAATAAATCATGTACTAATTTRATTTTAATTTATATCAATCGATACTATTTCAATTTAATTTAATTCTTTGTGAATTAATTGTTACTTGAAAAAAATACAAAACTTCAATAAGTGAAAAGAAAAGAAACCCTTGGACCACTCGTTAGCTAATAAGTTCCTCTTTCAATCTTTGAATTTACTACTGATTGGGCTATCTTAATACAAACAGAACACTAAGGGTTACCTTGCCTTAAGTAAATTGTCAACACTCATATTGGAACTGGGTGGGATGCGATGGACACCTTGGAAAGACAAATTTCTACTTAAATTTCTTATTTTATATTCGTTTTAATTTAGCTTACTCCATGGATTCAAGTAAACTACTATTTATTAATATTTCAACCAAGAGCCACGTCCGATAAACAACAAACAACTTCATTATATTAATGGAGTGAGACGGGAGATTCGATTGAGAAACAAAAAATAAAGTTACCCTAGACTTATCGGGATATTGCTATATTGCTATCGAGTTTTAATTTTAAATTCATCCTTGTTGAAGCAGATCAATAAAATGTATATRTATATACAAAACCAAAACACTGTTATTGTAAAAAAACATGAGAAGGTACAAAAATATGTATTACCGATAACCAGAAGTTACTTCATGTTCAAGTAAGATTGACACATACTGCCAGAAATATAACTATATGCACAACTATACCGATACTTCGTGTTCATATAAGCAAACGTAATATAAAGTGTCAAGCATGTCTACAATAACGTTTAATCAGCTGCTGTGCTATTAGCCCGCATACATCCGGCTTATTTTCAAAGTAAACACCGGATGAAACTCAGTCTACTGTGCTATATATTAGCCAGTCGTCTTTTGGTTACATTGCCATATTACGTCACAATGGATTACGTCACACGAAGTATSACTACACGTTAGATACATATCTCGACGAAACAAATAACGTTTTAGATTAGAAAACCATCCACCCAATACAGAAACAATTCATGTATATCTTTGAGATCATTTTGTACGAAGGAAGAAGGAAGAYAATATGTGAGTCGATTGAAGGCAACTGCTATGGTTATTGATCTAGAATTAAAAAAGAAGAAGACATAAATAGAATAATAGACATCATGCCTATTCGTACTAATTTTCGCCAGTGGATAATTTTGTTATTAAATAAATTTTCAAGAAATCGCGAAACCTGCAAAAAATGTTGAAATTAAAAACCAAGGGCCTGTGAAATTATTTCGAATAAGGTGATAAGTAAGCGTGTACTTACCGTCACTTTTCCAGGCAGCCATCATCGCAGCCACTCTGCCCTTAGGAACGACATCGACATCTGATATTTGAGGAGCCAAGAGAATCTTAAGCTGTAAAACAAAAGAGAAGAAAAACAATAAGTYTCTAGAACTAYTCGATGAACATTATCGACTATTTGACAACTTACATTCTTTCCACGAGAGGAAGTGCTTGACGATGAACTTTCTACCAAGTTCACAGGCATYGAGTATCTTTTCATAGGGTCTGCGATAGATTCTTTTYTTCGCAACTCAACTGGCTTCGGTGCATTTTCCACTTGTTTGTTGTCAGCTGCCTTCCTTTCGTTACTGGATGCTTGGACGAGTTTTATGTCTTCRTTGTCTTTTGRTTGYTTTTGATCATCTGTAGTCTTTACTTTTGAAGTTTGTGGGATCGYCTTTTCAAATTGTTTTTTCTGTTCCGTTTCATTTTTCATTGTCTTAGATTGTTCAATATTTTCCGTGTTTCGAGGCGGCTTTGAATTCGCGCTGTCCTTTTTTATGGATTCCGTTTTGGATGATGCTACTAACGAATCAGATTTATTTTCAGTTTGTGTTTTTGACGTCATATTTGAMTTGMTMGTTTTTTTTGTTTCTATGGATGCATCAGATGTGCTACGTTTCCTAGGAAAAAGTATATCATAGGAGTTTGGATTTGGACTAGATTTTCTAAGCGATAATTCTGTTTCTTTCTTTGATTCAACAACCGWCTTGTTTGATTGAGTCACCTTTGTTGAACTTTTTTGATCCTTTGGAAATAAAACTCCATAAGGCTTTGGATTTAAGGAGTTTGTTCTAAGTCTTACACTAGAAGAGTCCGTTTCCTTTGAATTTGTTTTAGTCGTCTCTTTAGAAACAACCTTATCAGGCTTTRTTTCATTGTTCGCAGGAGTAGATTCAGATTTGGGTTTGGAATTTTCAACTTGAGCAACGTTCGTCTCACGTGTTGCGCTTGAAGCAATTGAATGTTTTGGCATTGTTTCTGATGCTGTGGAACTTATATCAGATGAAGTTCTTTCTCTATAGCCCATTTTTTCTTCGAGCAAACGTAAAGCTGGGCTCTGTCTTGGATTTATCTCTGTACTGTCCCTCCGTTCCCGCTCAGGATCGTCTTCTGTGGAAAACATTTTCATCATATCTTGAACAGACTTTCTTTTCTGCATTGTGTCTTCCTGTTTTGCRCCTTTTTTTCTCATGACGACGCCTTGCACGCCTTGAGAACTGGACTGACGATCGTTTGTTTTGGGGATCGTGGATAGATCCTGTTCTTTAACGCGMTCGACMGTCGCATCAATAGTCGAATCATTTGAAGCTGGTTCTTTCGTTGTATATGTTATACCTGATATTGATGTAGTTTTGGAGCCTCCAAAAGAGCTCATGTCATTTCTCTTTGGTGCTGGAACTACAAAAYKTCTTCCTGGGACATTGTAAGATGTGTCACTGGATGACCGCCTTTCGATGGCTGACGATACGTAAGAATGTGGTTTTCTTGTTTCTTCCTTAGGCTTGTTAGCTGCAGTTGACGAGGTTGTTGTGGTTTCCGTTGTAGCTGTATCAKAGAGAACAACAATTTTCTCTTCGTCGCGAGATGACGCATTCTTTTCTATTTCAATCTTTCTTTGTCTTTCCTGTTCCATTATCTTCTCCTGATTTTTTATTTCAGTCCAAATGTTMGGAAAGGAGACATGTTCGGATAYTGTGACTTCGTTATCGTTTTTAAGATGTGATGATCGAACGTCTATCGGAGCAGTCGTTTCAAATCGAGCATTTTCACTTTCTTTAGAAACACGGGATACTTTTGAAGAATTTGTGCTTTTCGCTTGTTCGTCAAGGGATAATTGCTTTAGTTCTGTTGGTCGAGTCGTGTCATGTTGCGTCGAGAGTGACGTTCCACTTTTCTCATCCGTTTTCGTCAAAGAGCTCTTTCTCTGTTTTTCTTCTTGTATAAGCTTTTCTTGATTTTTTATATCAGACCAACTTTGCTTTTTAAATCCACTGCTCACGGGCCTCTTCGGGCCGGTTTTAGATTGTTGCCATTTGTTRTCATTGCCATGCAAAGATGTCGTCTCCGTATTAGTGGAATTTTGTTCTAAAGACTGAAACAAGATGTCCATAGGAACAGCAATAGGTGTAGCTGTCGACGACTCCACCTTTGGCTCATCAGAAATACTTTTCTCAGACCTTTCTCTATAGCTACTTGTAAAACTACTTTCTTTGACAAGCGAAGAGGAATATGGTTTAGACGTAACGTCTGCCTGAGGGATCTCCTTTTCTTCCTGATGCAGAGTTTCAATCTCATTGGAACTTTCAATCTTGGTGTCTGAGGRAGCTTGAGCTGTTTTATCGTTTCCAATATTGTTTACATTTTTTAAATCAAGGAAGTCTTCATCAGACTCCGAAGCCAAGGAACTTCCAGAATATTCTAYGCTACCTAGATCGTCAAAGGGGGTTCTGTAGCTACTGGAGCCTTCCTCTGAACTAATACTTTKGCGATATTCCTTTTCCTCTGCAGTCGGAGGGACTCTGTCTTTGGAGTTGGGAAGTGTCAAATTGCTTTCGTCACCAGACACAAGATATTTTGCGCCAGAGTATTCGTTCTTATCTTCTAAAGATTCTATGACTGGTGCGCTTTCATGAWGCTCATTATTTGCTGTTTCTTTTTCAATTATTTCAGCTGGTAAGATGTGATTGACATGGCTTTCGACAACAGGTTGAATTTGAGGGACAAGCYCTTGGTTATCATTCTCTCCTGTTGTTTCAATATTTGTTTCTACCTCCGATTTGACCAAAGATTGCTGTTCACTTGAGCTATTGTTTTCAGTTGGAGGAACGTCACTRATAATGTTCGAAATTTCCGCTTGGAATGCTGGTTGTGGTTCAGATARCCAGGGAAACATTTCGGTGCTTAAACCGAGCTTCTTTTTTGYAGTTGACTTGTMATAGTCCCCAAATTTATCTCTAAATTCATCGATTTCTTCAGCCTCTTCATCACAGTTTTTGTCTTCTGCAAAGTCCAACGGTGGTGGAATGGAAAAACTTTCCTCAYTTTCTAGAACTATRTTCGATTCTGTGGGAATAATATCCTTCTCCTCTGGRGAATCATCAAACATGGTTGGTGGCGGTGGAACAACCATGCTCTCTATATCTGAATTTTCGATCTTGAGATTTTCATCRAAGTCTGGTGGRGGTTGGAGAGAAATTATGTCCGCGTTTGTTTCGGAAAAAGGTACAGTTCCTGGGTAATCAAATGAAGATTTTTTATCCTGGATTTCATTGGAAAAATCCGAAGGTGGAGGAGGCGGAGAGATGCCGTGTGGCTTATCCGAGTTACTGGGTTTTATATCCTCTATATCTTCGAAGGGAGGTCTGTACCCTTCTATTGGCGAAGTAGGAATATCTTGATCACAAGAAAAATCCACGCTAGAACTTCGACTATCACCAACAAAATTTATCCTTGATGATCGTCCTTCTCTTTCAACTACATCATCGTTTTCAGCATCCGCTTCAGAAGGTAGTAAAAATTTCAGAGGGATGGATTCTGGCGATGCAAGTTCTTGCGATACGCCAGGAGACAAGGGAKGATCTGATGCCATRGGTGGCACCACAGATTCTTCCCYTTTAAATGATGTTACGTAACTTGAAGTGTTTTGWGTTGAGTCGTGATCTCCACTACCTTAAACGTAATTAGAAACGTGATTAAAACTTTAACCGTAATCAATATTATCTGTGCAAAACATCGATTGGTGTCTTACGGGGCAAAGCTAAAAYAAGGCAGAATATGACGYTAWACATTAATTATAGAATGTTACTATAATACATTCCAATCTCTTTCTTACGTTACACCAAMAGACATGAAGCGCGCCCCCTCAAAACAACCATTATTCAATTCATTATTCGATTCTTGGTCGATTCAACATTACATTATTGAAATCAAAATTGAATTCAAACTTGAAATTTGATTGGATTATTGATCGGATTTTTATAAAGCCTT